GGCTCTCGTTGAGATTCTCCACTTGGACCAACAATATCCTTCCTTTCTACTTCAGGAGTTTCTGTAGCCTCTGGAGCAGCTGAGGAGGAGCTAGGCCTTGTTTCAGATGAGGAAGTACCAGTGGTTGATGAGGAACTTGAAGCGGTAGTAGCAGGAACTGAGGTAGTTTCGACAGAAGAACTAATATTGGTAGTGGTAGATAAAGTGCTTGTGGGAGTAGTTGTGCCGGCTGGCTCCGCACTTGTAGTAGTAGTGATCTAAGATAGGGTTAAATTTGGTAAGATTGGTGTAAAAGTGTTTGGTTTGATTTCTATCAATATAAAGATAAAGCAGTGCTTTGTCGGCTGTGATTTAGTGGTTATTTGAACAAAAACAAAGTTTAGTCAAACATTGGTTAGAAGATTTATTTCTTACCCTGTTGCCTTTAAAACTGTCGGTTCTTGTCGAAGGTTTAGCAGTTGTAGGAGTGGATGATTCTTCTGTTGTACTTGATACTGCTAAAAGAGTCATTCCTTTTTGAGCATTGAAGAAGACTCTAAGCTGCCAAGTTCTTGAAAACCCATGCTTAAATACCTGCTGGCGGCTTCCGTTGTTCTGGGCGCTCATCTTTCTCAACGCCAGATCCTTCGGTCTCGTCAATTACAATTGTGGGGAACGCTAAAAATGAAATTTTTTGCTACAAGCAACTTAAAAATTTTCCTTTGAGAAGAAACTTACCAGTGACGGTGGTAGACGTCTCTGAAGAAGATGTTCTTTCACTAGTCGTCGTTAACGGTGTGGTAAAAGGTGATTCAGCACTCTTGGGTTCTTTAGTAGCACCAGATGTTGTTGTCCTTGCTACTTCCGTACTTTCACCAGCTGTGACTACATTCTCTGGTGTGCTTAGTACAGTAGTGCTTCCGTCAGTTTTTACGGTAGTTCCCATTGATAGTACGAGATCAGGTTGCTCCGTAGTTGCACTAGACCCTTCTCCGCTGGAAGTTGTTCCAGTGGAAGTAGAACTACTGGGAGTTGATTCAGTAGAGCCACTGGGAGTTCCAGTAGTTATTTCTTCCTTGGGTGTCCCCATCGAAAGTACCAAATCTGGCTGTTCAGTTGTAGTGCTGTAATTTGAGGGAACAGTTGGTAACTCTCCGGAGGATTCTGGGATTTCTGAGGTAGAGGAAGGTGAAGTTGTAACTTCTATGGTGCTTCCACTGGGAGTGCTTTCTCCAGAACCCTCAATAGCTTCACTGGTGGCAGTCGTTGGAGTTTTGGTGACAGGTTTTTTAGGTGGAACTCCATCAATGATCTCCTCCCCAGTACTTGGCTCTCCTTCAGTGATAATATCTGGTTTTCCTGGCTTAGAAGTAGTTCTGAAATCTACGGGCCCAATTTCCAATCCAACTTCAGGTTTGGTGACACCTCCATGATGTACAATCTCTAGACCAACTTCCTCACCATTGATAGGTTGTTCAGTGACAAGGGCCTCCGAAGGTAAGCCGGAGCTAAGGGTATCCGGAGAAATTGTCGATTCTATAGTACCTGTAGCGACTTTCGATCCTACAGGTAACATTACTCTACCTGAAGTAATGCTACCAAAGGAACCATTCTCAGACTTGATTACTTCAACTCCTAAAGGTTTCAAAGCAACTCCAGCATTCTTAGGAGGAACCTCAGAAGCTGTGGAGATGTTGATAACGACATTGCCATCTGTGGTCTTAGTCATTCCACTCTTATCCTTGGTC